GTACTCCAAGTGTTTACAATTCTCCACTTTCTTCAGATTCATTTTAATTAAGATTTTTCAAAGTGTTTTATTTGATCGCTTTATTCCTATTCCTCAGTTCCAGATCAGTCGCGTTCTTTAATTTTAATCAATTCTATCACTGTTTAATAGTATATTAAGAAACAAGTTTCATAAGTGGCGCGTTTAACGCACGAGTTCAAGTTTAGAAAACGAGCCGCTCGCGGCGAGTTTTCTAATGAACGAGTGCGATGGGGCGTCTTATGAAACAAGTTTCTTATACTATTTTTTCTATTGAGAACATATTTTCGAGAAATTTTTATCAAAATGATGTTATAGTAACTTTTTGTAACTAGGGAATTTTGATATAGAAGTTGTATTAGTGCAGGTTGTATTAAGTTGGCAGTACCACGTCCCAAATATTTCACTTATTTAAATACACTCTCATCAATTTTGTTTTAATTAATAAACTTCAGAAATTAGTACATTAACTGTGGAACAATTCATAAAGGCAAAATGCAGTCCTTCGTCCTTTTACATAAGTTATGTGAAATTCAGTCGTGTCACTGTCGATTAACGACAAAGCTAACAGCTAACAGATTTCGCCCGTATGACACTGCTTCTACTTATATTGGTGACTGACATAAAAAGAAAAACAAAGGTTTCTTTTTGCGATTTGCCATTAACGGTCACTAACGGATCGGTCCTTAGTGGATTGTTGTTACGTGATAGGTGTCACTCATTACGACGGGTTCGGCTTCGGATCGTCACTTCCTCTTAGGAGCATAACGATACTACACAAATCAGGCTCACGATATGAATAACGCAGAACAAGTGCTAAAAGCAATAAGCTGCTCCTTTAAAATATTGTTTAATGTGTTCCGAAGGTATCCTCGTTGTCATCCATTCCCCATTCGAAATCTCCTTTATAACCTGTAGGTCGTTTTTGGAAGATAGGTACACTATTCGTACTAGTAATCATTGGTCACAGATTGTACGTAGATGTTGAACGTGCTACAAAAAGAGGCATTAATCATTAATGTACAAATTTACCTCAAAGCCCCACATTTTTGATATCTCGGTTCTTACGCTACATACCGTAATATTTAATTCCCTTTTGAGTTTTGGAAGGAGAAAGTAATTCAGTGGTTTTTTCATATTGTTCTTGTAATTTGATTAACACTATCAGCCTTACATGTCTCGCTTTTAATCAAATAGAAAGGGAATCTTGTCTTTCTGTATATCAAAACATAACCCTAATTTGTAAATAAATACAATCGAATGTCAAATAGGGCAGTGAATTTAGGTTTTCCTCTTTAATACCAACTTAAAAACGGTGCGTTAATAGGTCTCATTAACGCACTGTTTTGAGCGGAAAACAGTGCGTTAATAAGAACATTTAAAAATCGAAATAGAAAAAAACATTTTTTGATCCTATAAATTCTTCTGATTCTTCTGGTTCATCAAATCTTTCAGATTCTTAAAATATTCGAGATTACAGTTCAATCTTGATAAACCGACATACAGGGTGGTGTTTTTAAGTGGATCATTATCTCAGGAATGGTTTGGAATTTCGATTTGGGACCCATTACCTTTTTTGAATAAGCATTTTCATTATATGCACATATATTCACAGTAAAACTGGCCTTTTTTCTATTACTCTCGATAATCCGGTTTTTTTGATAGGTACTCCGGCGGTTACGTGGTCTCATGTACAGGGTGTAAATCGAAAAGTGGAACATAGGCGTTTAACATGGGAAATTACTTTTTCTTTGCGCAAACGTGTCCTAATTATTTTACCCAAAAATACTTCAAATAAAAGTTATAGAGATAGGTATAAATTCTGCATCTAAATCATGTGAAACGATTATTCTACCTCATCTTGTGCGCGAAAGAATTAATTATAAAGATTCTGTTTTCATGCGTTTTTAGTCTAAGTAGCCATGGACTATGTTTTTCTTTTATCATATCACTTTTCGATTTACACCCTGTACAAGGTGGTTTGCTTAAGTAGATCATTATTAGAAGTATCTCAGGAACGGTTTGGAATTTCAATTCGGGACTCCATTACCTTTTTTGAATAATAACCAATCAAAAGGATTCATTTAAAGATATTATCAAGATGGCACTTGGCAGCTTTTCCGCTTGTATCAGAACGATACCGGAACTTACTTATTTCAAATGGCACTATCTGTTCTGATGGCATTTTCGAGTGCGTCATAAAAAATCAGTATGACTTTGTCAATATGATGTTATGTCAAACTGACATGGTTTCTAATAATAATAATAATAATAATATAATAATATAATAAAATTTTTTTTTTAATGACCCTACATAACTTCACCAGACACAGACACTAATCGTTACTTGATTTTAATCCGTGCGATTAGTTAACCAGGCTAGACCTGAGTTCTCACAAGAAACACCGATAATAATAATAATATATTCATTGTACTAGTACATTAAAAGTAATGTTTACACGCGTCATAAAAGCAGAACAATACATATAAATATAAAGCACAGAGACTTGCTATAACATAAAACATAAGACGTAAACTTCAAGAAATATTAAAACTTATAATTTAACGTCAATGTTAAGAAAATCTTTAATATTGTATAAGGGGTTTTCAGTTAAAAAAGCCTTTATTTTGTTTTCGAAGTTATTTGACATTTACGCACCCACCGAAGGCGAAGCTATGTTCTCGTGTGGAGTCAAATGATGTCATAAATATTTAAATATTTCACAAAAATAATTCCTTTCATTGTAAAGGAAACCAAGAAAACCCCCAAAAATTTGTAATGTAGCGAGATGAGGCGAGGCAGCCGTACTCGCCAAGTGTCACTTTTAAATTTTTTTAGTTGTCCTTCATGTTCACGGGTTTGTAGCTCAGTGGGCTCCAAACCCGGAGGTCGGATGTTCGAACCTGGGCTGAGGTAGGAATTTTTCATCTGTGGCAGAGATGGGAATTTCCTTAGATCCGTTTCGAGTATTCCTGCAGTTTTCCCTCTGTTTTCCTAATTCGTAAGGTAAATACCGGAGTAGTATAGAACAACTTGAGACCTTCTGCAGGGGAACCTCTAAAAGCATTATGCGGATCATTCTGTAATTTGGCGTAAGCCTGTTGAGGGCCTAGAACAAAAGAGACAATAAATAAATAAAATAAAAAATTAAATAAATGAAAGTAATTTTCCTCGCTTTTCTTTTGGCGTTTCCTTAAATGTTACGTGAAAAACTAAATCATAATGTAGGCACACAAATAAATATCAATCCTTTTTACAAGCATAACCATACACGACATTAATATCAACTTAAAATTCTCATTGGAGATCTTTTTGGAAGTAAATGGAATTTTTGAATTTGAATGGAATTATTTTGCAGTTTTGGAGGTCTGATGGTATTTTTTTGAATTCTGGAATTCTTTTATACTTTTGGAATTCTGGTAAGTATATAATGGCTCAGTGGTTTGCCCCTTGGGTGAAGTATGTTTATAATGTAATAATACAACAAACCTCTCTAATAATGCTGTTTAAAAAGGGTTATAATCCATAAGACTCAGATCCTTCTCCTCCTCTACTTTTTTTCTTAAGTTTTTTTTGATTTTCTTATGTTTTTGCCTGCAATTCTTAAGAACCATTTGACCCATCAGATTTTTTGGATTCTTCAGTTTCTTTGAATTCTTCCTTTTCTTTAAATTCTTCCGATAAAATTATTAAGAAGATTCTTCCGATGAATAGAAGAATTCATCTGATTTGTTAGTTTCTTGAAATGTTAGGTATTCCAGTCTCGTAACAATCACTACCCATACTGACTTAAAATCTTAAAGCTTGTGATACCTCTCTGGAAAGCTTATTAAACATGCTCTTCACTGCTCATAAAATAAAATTTTACATCCGTATGGGTTGTGTGGCGGGGGTAGTTTAAAAAATAAGTCATTTGGATTCCCTCGGTTTTTAAAGAAACGATGTTTTTATTTTGTTGATATCTCTCTTTAATAAAAAAAAATATAACCGTTGTTTTCAAAGGCCCACACTGTGTATTAAAAGTCACTTCATACAAAGGACAAGGTGTGAATTGCACGGTGCAAGTGCTCAGTTCATATGACCTTGCTTCGTTTCCAATTATCGACAACTAAATAGAAATATCTAATAAAATCTGTATGTACTTCTTATTTGTAATGGAATTAATTAATAAATTCAATCAAATAAATTAGTCCGAGATCAGGTTATAAGCAGTGTTCACTTTCACTGAAAATTAACCCAATTGTAAAGATTATATTTCTCCTTAATAACAGCGTGCTCACCTGCTTATTTGTTTGCAGAGGAAACATTTTTAGATTTTCTTCTTCAACTAACTTTGGAAATTTATAATTAGCGAATATAAATTTTAGTTTGTAACATTCATTTTATGGTTACAAATAATACTATTGTTTGAAGGGATAATCAATAAGCATTTTAGCTTTTTTCGGAATTTTTTATTGAGGATGTATTAATGTTTAATGCTTTACTTATCAATTAACTGAGCAACTTTAGTTGGAGCACACTTTACGTCGAATATTTTTATTTTTTTTTTATTTTTTATTTTTATTATTATTATGCTTTGCAACAGAAACATTGCTTACAAACGTCAATAAAAACGAAATACAAAATAATTAAATTCAAAATTCATAACTAAAAAATTCCGCATATGAATAAAAAGGGTTATTAATAAGAAATCGTTTGATATGTGTTTTGTAGGTTGCGTAAGGTAAAGCCTTTATGGTATCCGGGAGATGGTTATAAAATTTTTGAGACATAGCTATAGAGCTATCTTTCGTTTTGCTCAACCGGTAAAATGGAATTCTTATTGCTGCTCTCCTTCTCGTGCAATAATCGTGGACGTCTGAATTGTAGGTATAGTTGTCAATATTTAATTTAACATGACAAAGACAAGTTAATATAAATATACATGGCATTTTCGCACATTTAAAGGCGTCACGACACTCGCTTTTATAGCCTAAATTCATTAGTACACGCACTGCTCGGCGCTGTACCCTGAATAAGCGTTTCCAACATGGATTGTTACCCCATGCTATAATAGAATAAGAGAGGAGGCTGTGGCAGAGAGCAAAGTAAGCATTTTTCAATGTATCGAGTGATACTTGATCGTGTAACCTACGTAAAACAAAAATGTTTGTATTAAGTTTAGAGGTGACATAGTCAACGTGGCTGTTAAAGTCTAACTTAGGATCTAAGCGTACTCCAAGAAATTTTACGTATTCTGGGTTGTCGTAACGAAGGCGCCTTAGGGTTAAAATCATCTTCTCGGTTTTTAAAGCGTTAATGTCCAGGCCATTGTTGGTACACCATTCAGCTGTAGATTCAAGGTTGAGTTCCGAGGTTGCAATTAAGTCGTTTGGGTCTCCATCTTTTTGTAACAAGGTGGTATCATCGGCATACAATAAACATACGCACTCATGAGGGATGCTGGTTGGTAGGTCGTTGATGTAAAGGAGAAACAATAACGGCCCCAGTATGCTTCCCTGCGGAACGCCCTTATTCACTGGCAGTATTTCACTGAATTCGTTATTAACGCGCACAGTTTGAAATCGATTGGTAATATACGATTTTATTAAGCAAGCACTTTTTTTATCAAAATTGTATATATGCACTAGTTTATTAATGAGAATGTCGTGTGAGATGCAATCAAACGCACGAGTTAAGTCAATGAATATTGCCCTACAATACTGGCCCTGCTCAAAACACTCCAGGGTGTATTGAACGAAAGACAGAATGGCATCGGCTGTACACCTTCCAGGTCGAAATCCAAACTGCTTATTGTACAGTAGATTGTTATCTTCCAGGTACTTAGATATACGACTGTAGATAATTTTCTCGTATAATTTCGAAAAAGCTGGCAGAATTGATATCGGGCAGGAAATATACCGTCACGAAGGGTACTGTTAATTAGCTTCACTAATAAGTTGGCATATAAACTTGAGTTGCTTTTGATGAGATTGACGGTCGTCCCATAAAGATCTTTGCTATGACCGTTTTTTAATGATCTGATTACGTCCAAAACTTCTGGTAGCGATGTTAGATGATGATCAAGCTTAAGTTGTTTGGAAGTGTCAACGTCGTTGATATTGGTGTCATCCGATCGATAAGTAGGAGTAGGAGTAAAGCCTGTAGTTGAGTTAGAAGTATTAATGAAATGTCTGTTGAACTCGTCTGGTGTAAGATGGTGTGGATGTAAGGTAGTCCTATTTGATCCTCTGTGTGCATTAACGATGCTCCACATTGTTTTGGTAGGGTTACTCGATGTTCTTATCGCAACGTTGTTGCAGCTATCTTTGCATCCTTAATAGCACATCTATAAGAAGACCTTGTTTTTCCTTTTAAAATTAAAAGTTCATTGGTTTTGTATTTATTATACAATTGAGATATTAACTGGTAAGATTGCCTCAGCATTTTTAAAGTTTTGTTGAACCAGTTCACACAATTTCGGCTGGTAGATCGCTTCAATTTTGTTATTGGAAAGGATTCTGCAAAATCACGTTGAAATTCCTCGAAGAAGGCGTTAAATTTTAAATTTGCATCCATATCACTATTCCATATAGGACTCCAATCCTTCTCGCTAAGGGAGTTAAACAGTTTTATGCGACCTGATGCAGTAAGTGGACGATGAAGGACGCTCTTGGTGTTAACATTGCCATTGTTTTGCGAACCTAATGAAATCAATTGACCAAAATGGTCTGATAAACTGCAGTTTATCACATTAGTAGAAAAGTCGTTTAAACTGAAGTTGATGAATATATTATCAAGGCAGTTGTTTCGCCTAGTTGGTTCCCGTATTGTTTGGATAAACCCAAACGAACTCAGCATACTAGTTAAATGAAACGCTCGGGTATCGTTAGTATTAAACAAAACATTAAAATCGCCGGTTACGATAATATTAGTAAAAACATTTAATTTAAGCAACAGGAGTTCCATATTGTTCATGAAGATCTCAAAGTTACCCGCAGGCGAACGGTAAACCGCAACAACCACAGTTTTAAGCTCACGAGATAAAATTGCGCAGACCTCACAATGCGATTCAATAGACATCTCATTAACATATGTCAATTGTTTAATATCATCACTATGGTTTGGAGTCAATATTAAGACACCGCCGTGAGTAGATTGGGATCGGCAGTAGGCTGATGAAACTTCCCACTTACCAATTCGTAAAGTACTTAGTACCTCCCGATTCAATATCCAGTGTTCACTTAAGCATATGATGGTAAAATTTTGATCACAAATAAAAGCTTCTAGTAGATCTAATTTGTTTGTTATACTTTGGATGTTAATGTGAAATACTTCTAATCTCTTTTTGGCATGAGTTTTTGAAGACGCCATAAAAAATGATTAACACAAGTACCCTTTGGCCATGTGGTTGGTGAAAGGAATAGCTCATTATCTTCTGGCTGGATAGAGATTTTAAATGAGGAGTAAGACTCAGGATATTTAGAAGGCATTTGCTGAATTACGGTAGGAGTGATGCTCTTATTCTTCATATGTTCCGAAATTTGTGGTATAGTTGTGTCGGGATGTAATCGTGACACATAATAAGTTATTGTTTTAGCGACACCCTTAATGGTAGAATCGCTGTCAGACGTTCCAGTAGTTAACGTAGGCCTTCTGTTTCGCCTACTTTTCGGCTTTTGCCACTCTCCAGCGTCGTTATCTGGGGTTTCAGTAGCCTTCAAGGCTACCTCAGGTTTGAAAGTTTTCACATCACTAGCATTGGTTGATAGAAGGTCACTATTAATATATACAATATCGTTTATCATTTTTGATTGTGCTATTTCAATTGAACTTTGCGATCTTGGATTTTCCGTCTTATTTTGCGAATTGGTGTTTTTCGTAACCGAACGTGAATTAATTCGCGACTTGTTATCGTTATGTTTTACTATATTGGAGTACGATGGAGTAGATTTCTCTTTAGGTACAGCCACAGGCTTTTCTATACTGAGGGATTGTAATTGTTTAGACAAAGTTAAATTGTGATTTTTGATTACGTTTAATTCATATTTTAATGGCAAAACAACTTCTTTATTAAAATCTTCAAGAGCTTCTTGAACAGCATTCCCCGCACAAGCAGAAAGCTCATTTTGTATGGAATTTATCAAAGTTGACTGCAATTGTTGTATTAAGCTATGATATGGTCGTTCGGTGCATTCTCTACACACGTATTTTAAGCAAGGCATGCTATTAAGAAAATTTATCGTACCTTTGTTGACTTCGGCACAATCACCGTGAAAATATTTATTACACACACCAAAACAGTGCACAAAATCTTCATTGGCAATTTTTAAATTACATTTAAAGCATAGGATATCAGGCGGGCGTCCGACCGCGTCCGCCATCTTTCATTAGTCTTCTTCATCTATCTCGAATCACTCTAAATGAATGAAAATGTGTGATTTTTTAACAAAAAAGGTCACTGTTGCTTTCCATTAGAGATGTTGCTCTGATTATGGTTATATAATGTTTACTCACATCAAATTTTTGTAACACTGGACAAAAACGTAACTGGATTTTTTCCGAGTTTGCCCATTTTCTTCCGTTAAGTCAGATATCTCTGTAAGAAGCCTTTATTAAAGCATTCATTGGGGCTGTATTTTCTTGCACCTTTTTCGTTCCTTCTACCTCCTGTTACCTACGCTCTATGTTGGATGTATAGTTTTCTTTGTAGCGATTTCTAGCGTCTTTCTTGGGTACTTATTCCTCCGCCTTTTCGGATTTCCGCTTAGTCTCTTGTTGAATTTTCTCCAAATTTTTGACTTTAATGGTAGATCGTCTTCTTTTTGTTTACTGGAGGTGAGGCAATAATAGTCGATTCATCGTTCGTAAGTGCGGGAGATTTTCCAAAGGTATTTTGAGATTTTTCGAACGCTGAAATCGCCAGGATTTATTATACCGCCAGCAGTTATATGCAGGTACCTACGTATTTAAAATCCTTCAGTTTCTAAGAACTTTAATATTGTGTAATTTAGTGATGGAAGAGAATACTATTTCTGGCAAGGAAATTATAGGTGTTAAACACTACATAATGATGGACAACCTTCATTTTGTGATTGATTAGTTTCCTCACGAAAATGTATAATTACCCCGTCATAACGATACAAAAGAAAATATTTGGGGAATATTTTTTATGTTACGTCTGATGTAGTTACAAGTACGAAGAAAAGTTTCACACCTTCGCGCATTCTTTACATAACAATAAATTGAAAGCTTTAATTGAATTTATTTTCTAATCACCTTATACAACGTAATTTCCTTTATTCGCCACGAAATACGAAACTTATTATTTTGTAAATAAATTTTCGCATGTAATTTATCTCGCATGTGAATAGTAGGTACATAAATTTAAAGCTTGGCAATCTATTGCAAAATATTCGACACATGCACAAATGTGCAAGCCTAGAGCATTCGATGTCTTAGTATAGTAGTTATGAAACGTTATTTTACAAGTAGGTAATGCCGTCAATTAGTGAGCAGTTAAGTAGCTAGAACGTTTGTTTATGTATTGCTTTTGCGTTTTGAAATTATAGGTTGCGTAAGATGTAACTTGCACGACCACACCAGAAAATGTCGTTTGATTAATAAAATGTCATGAGAATTTTATTATGCCGCGTTTAGTGCCTATTAAATTCTCAATTATATAAGTAACGCATTCCTGGATCAGCTTCAGCTTTCAGAAATTTTTATTTTGGCTTGTTTAAAATTGCATTAGTAAAGACCAGGAGGTGTCTCAGAAGGACCATAAATCGTCCACGGTTTAGTTCTACATAGTGATGTTCGCAAAATAGCATTTGTTGGGCAGGGACTGATTCAAAAGCGAACACTTCGCCTATTCAAATCGACTGTGCGGTCTGTTCAAAACTATTGCTGGTTATTCCGATTCCTTTTTAATTTTGGGCAGTGACACTGACTGTTCATGGTTTAAACTTGATGCAAATTATACAAATGGAACATTATTGTGTTGATTGATTGTCGAACAGCAGTATTATCTTTGGAAATGATAACTTTGTTGGTAACGGTTTGGTGTGATAGGTGGTGGTTACTGCGAATGCTATATTTATGGCCATTTCTTCTGTTTGTTGTCAGATCAAAATCGATACGTTACCTGAATTACATCTTCAAATCAATAACTACTACCAAAAAATGCAGGCAATACATCGTCTGCTTTATTTAAGATGCAAACGGTAAAGTTACATTTTAAACGATATAAATAAATTCCATGTAAGATTCGAATCGTAACTGAAAAAGTTTTCCTGTGGTGATTGTGGAAAGTGCGGCACTTCGCATTCGTATCATTTTCAAAAACCCTCTGAATCTGGGCGATGTAATTGCTTATCCAGATTTACTTTAATTTGCAAGTAGTGTAATTCCAAAACCTGTTCGGCGATAGGTTTTGATGACAAAAATAGTTACTGACAATTACTGAACGCGGAAAAGAAATAGCAAACTTTCACTACAAACGGCACGTAGCTAGTACGTAGCGTTTGTTATGATGTACCTAAGTCGATATTTTAATTGATTATTTGTAAAAAAATTATTCAGTTTCGGTAGTGGTACTGGTAAAGCAGGTTTGGAACTTGGAATATCTACGGATAATGACTGGATACAAAAGAAGTCCACTCAGTCTTATTACCATCACGAAACTGGTACTCTAAAACACGTAATGTGTTACAAACGCACACCACATTCCGCTATTTTTCTTTGTCTCAAAATAAAGAAAAACATTAGCAATATTTTTAGCGTTTTCCGTAAGTTACGCCACAAGTAATGGAAGTAACATGGCCTACTTGGAATGTGTGTTTTTTTATTAAGACAGCAATAAATTCGTACCAAAACGTAGGTAAAGACCGATAGAAGTGATTGAACGAAAAACGATTACACATACACCGACTGGCCTCCTTTCCAAAATAAAAACTAATTATCAGGTTATACGCGCGTAATACGCAATTAATTTTCAATGGAGTTTTAATATATTTATGGAATGATAAGTGGATTTAGCGAAAGTGCCTCCATAAATTAAAAAATCATAAAGGCATCTTCTCGTAACGGACTAATGACACTCTCTCTTTATTTGCGCGGACAAGGTGCTTTGGCCGAGATGCTTATACACTTAATTTTGTCAAGGTTTCCGCTAATTATTGAGTTAATGTAGTAGATCTCACCAGAAGTGTCGTGATTTCAGTGGAAGCGCTGTTCAGTTTCAAAAAATGACGGATCCTCACGTCCAGATAAAAAAGATTTGGGTAAGGAAGATCTGAAATCGCATCTGCGTACTGTATGCATAAACGCATTAATTTCACGTAAATTAATAAAAATTATGTGGCGTGAACTACACTTGACTTGACTTACTTTTCCATCTTCAAAAAGCTGAAATTTGCTCTTCTATTTTTAAAAGGTGTGAGTGGTGATTGTAAGACGCTTGCATTGTACTGGGTGCGTATTGTGTTCTATTAATTCAATTTATTAATTATTGGAATGTGTCGTCTTTGATATCTTATAATTTAGTGAGAATGCGAGAAAGTCAAGATCAGGTTTTTTAAATGGCGTGGTCTAATCGGTAAAATTATGACTAATAGACTTGATCGAGCGGATAATTAATAATTTTTTAAGTGAACGGTGAGCGGAACTCTTCTAAAGTTTGAGGTTTAATAAAAGTGACCATTGGTGACATTTTAATATTTCGTTCGACACCAACCGAGTTAATTATAGGTGCAACGAAAATTTTAGCATCAATCTGACGGTTATTGATGCGTCCATTTTCTTGAGTTTGCCGCTAGACAACTAAATCAAGAGCCTCAGAAGCATCCGATTAAGCATATCCAATTTTAGCGTTTATTTGTTTTTACAAATGTTGCATAACCGGTGGTTGCAGTTTCAAGTTATAGCAAGTGTTCAAAGTATCGTCGGAATCAGTTATAAATCTAAATGAAGTCAGGTGATTTCGAAGAGCAATTTTTTTCTATCCTATTATGGAATGAATCTCTTTGTATCTCCAGCCGTTATGTAGAAATCTTGTGGTTTGTCGTAATGCAGTTTGCAACATGGCACGATGGCGTTTCACATTATCGGTATAATAAAAAATATAGGACCCACAATTCGTTTTCCATTTTCAGAAATGAAGCGCGATAAAGGTTTTTTGCCCTCCAAGACATAAACATTTTTTTCTATAACCTCCGCAAGTCATTTCCGCACACATTCCCTCTACCGATCAAATACACAATGAATCGACGGTAAGACACATCATCTTCGTAACCTGGATACACTTCCTATAACTGTATTTTAGTTGACCTTTCGGTTTCCAAAATTCAAGTGCATTAATTGTGGCCGTTGTCAGAGTAAATGGCAATTAACAAAATTTTTCAACCTAAAACAGTACTTGCAGAACCTACGGGGTGTCTCAAGCGGGGTAGGATTGGCCTGTGTGAATTTGGTCCCCCAATTTTAGGAAGCACAAAAATTCGTTTTTAAAATGGACTGCACCCATTCGAAGTCAACTCCATAACTGCCTCCCAATTAAAAAAAAAAATATTTGCGATTACGCATGTTCATACCCCGAATGCCTTCGTTTGCGCCCCCGCCGTGTTTCAGTTATTCCGAATACAAATTCCATACTGCCCCTCAAGTTTTCAAATTTGACGTTTTTTTCTAGTGACCCTTTGCGGATGTTTACGCCCCGAATACCTTCGTTTGCACCCTCACCGTTTTCCGTTATTTACAAAATGTGTAAAAATAAAACGGCCAGCATTTTATTTTTTATTTTATTATCGGGGGAACCAGTATGGTATTATAATTATGCATTCGGAATAACTGGAAAACGGCGGTGACGCATACAAAGGTATTCGGGGGACAACCCTGCGCAAATCAAGCGCAAACGATCACTAGAAAAAAACGTCAAATTTGAAAACTCGGACAGTATGGAATTTTGTATTTGGAATAACTGAAAAAAATAGAATAGACAAATGAAGGTATTCGGGGCGTAAATATGCGCAATCGGTCGCTCTGTGGACGCAGACAAATGCAGTCGTGTGCCTACGATGCTAAAACCACTTCAAAAACTTTTTTTTTTGCTTCCTGAAATTAAGGGGCCAAATTCCGTATAAGTGTATTATTGTATGGCTAATCTTGTTCTTCTTAAAGGCCGTGATTATGGGTTCTGCAGTGTTGTGGGCTGATTATAATTTCCGCTAGAAAATTTGAAAGTCCGTTCCCAATTAAAAGTTGAACTGAAAAATGCCGATTTCTAAATAATTAAATATCTTATTATAAAAATTCAAAAAAAATACATGTTTTCTCGTTTTGGTAAGACTAACTCAAAATCGATGTCTAAATCAAATTCAAAATGGCGGCTCTGACATATTTTTCTTTCTTTTTACCACCCCCACGTTAGTAAGGGAGATATTGCATTTTGAGTAAAAATGCCCCGCCCCTTTTTTTTACGGAAATACACTTTTTGTAGCACCAGGAATCCGAATCAAACAAAATCTTGATGATGTCGATCTATCTGTCTTTTTTTTACGGAAATAATAAACTTGAAGTACGAGGAATCCGAATCAAACAAAATCTCGATGGTGTCTGTCGGTCGGTCTGTACTCTCATTTTCGGCTAAACGGCTGAACCGATTGGAACCAAATTTGATACACATATTCTTAGACGCAAAAGAGCAGAATCGCTCATGCGCATGTGGTATCTGTGCTAGCCACAGCAAATTTTTGAAATAGGCATTGGATTTTACATATCTAAAAATTATAGTTGTTTTTATTCTCTTGTCAACAATGTAACAACGACTGAACAAAGAATACTAGTAAACTAAAAAAACGATTTTATCCGTCTAAAAATTCACCTTCACTTACAAAAGCTTTTTTGTTAATTGGGCCCAAAAATAGCATATTTTATCGAGGTAAGAAGTGTCTTTTAACGATAAAAGGTCTGATCGACTAAGAAATACGTCTTTATTATTTTGATAAACAAGGTTTAATGCTCTTTCTTCAATAAAAGGTACAAAATAATTCATTTTATTAGTATTCTTGGTTGATTAGGTTACATCGGTTGAAAAGAGAAAAACAAACTCTCTTTAATGTAAAAATCCGAGATAGTGCTCATTTAACAAAAAAGGTTGCTGCTCTTATGTCTCATATGTTTTATTTGGGATTGTCCTATCAAAATGAGAAACTTTTATATCAAGCTTGGTTCCATGAAATGAGCCGCATTCATAAATGTCTCATGCCCAAGTATATTAGGAACTTCTAACTTAAAGATCAATTTTTTTGCCTAGATATAAACGACCCCTTTGTATTCGATACCTACTTTTTAAACTGAAGTGCGCCCTATTTTTAATGTTCAAACTACACACCAAGTTTTATTTGCGTTGACATCGATACCTGGATGCGTATAAAATCGCGGTTCGATGGATTACAATATCTAGGAATGCATGTCTTACACTTATGTATTAAGTATGGTTAAAATTGGATTAGTCTGACCATATTCCCAATATTTTCTCAAGCAAGATCGATAGATAAAGTCATTCAATATTTTCTAATATTTTGTACCGTTCATTTTGACGTAAGATCCAGTTTTACAATTAAATTTATCATGACGCAATATGTAGCAATAATTGACTGCCATGGATTACGTACGTACGTATAAAACTATAAACTATTGTTCATAAAGTATAATAGCAACACGCTGGTTTTTTCGATTTTTTTGAAAATATAAAACGTTAGACTTGCAATATTCGAGCACCAAACAGCACAATATTTTAGTATTTCTTCTTGGAAACGAAAAACGTTGGAATTGTGGTATTTGAGCACAAAACAGCACTAACGTAGCACTAACGATCGCATGTGCGTTTCTTTATAAACGAGTCATGGGTAGGGCCAAGTTCACAAAATATTTTAGTTTTTTTTGTTTTTCTTGGGAAGGTGAAACGTTGGAATCGTAATCTTTGAACACAAGCAGCGCTAACGATTGTACGTGTTGTTTTTAAAAAACGAGTCATGGTCGGTCTTCCATTTTTGTAACAGTATGCGTGTCTATGTCTTCGTGTGAAAGAAGTAGGTCTAAACTTAAATTAATTAAAAACTGGCTTCACCGATATCAAGATATTCAATTGTTTTGAGACAATTTTTCCTAATTGTCACTCCACACACCACACCGTATTTTTTATTTATGCAAGGTTAAAAAAGTTACGGATTTTCTAACATTTAAGCAGAGTAGAGGCAGCAAAAAAATAAAAAAACACTTTCTCAATGCAACTTTTTGAGCTTTACAAGATACCGTTCAGAGATTTTCAATACAACGTTTCGTTTCGGAGAAATCATCATCAACTTTATTATTTTATATGACCAATAAAAAAGTACATACTGTATTGAGTAACATTTTTTCTTTCCAGTACAACGATGTATACGGCACACAGAAAAAAAAATGTTCCAAAACCCACTCGTGGGTATTGCCGCGTAACACAAAGTATTGAAACGATGCGTTGCCATCGAAAGCACACAAAATGTCGAATCTGCATATTGAAGCACGTCCACGTCCAGAGAAAGAGAGGAGTTAAATAAGTAAAATAAAGTTTCAAAGAAATATCTCCATAAATAAGAAAGTTGGCATTGCGCAGTCACTGCGCATGCCCACACATAATTTTTACCATGTGCGAAATGTTTACCTTTACTAGAAGCGTCTGTGGTTAAAATTTCAAAGAAATATCTCCATAAATAAAAAATTTGGCATTGCGCAGTATGCCCACACATCACTGCGCATGCCCACACATTATTTTTACTATGCGCGAAATGTTTGCCTTTACTAGAAGCGTCTGAGGTTAAAATTTCAAAGCAATATTTCCATAAATAAGAAAGTTGGCATTGCGCAGTCACTGCGCATGCCCACATAATTTTTACTATGTGCGAAATGTTTACCTTTACTAGAAGCGCCTGTGGTTAAAATTTCAAAGAAATATCTCCATAAATAAGAAATTTGGCATTGCGCAGTATGCCCACACATCACTGCGCATGCCCACACATTATTTTTACTATG